TGGTTTACTCTTAACTTCCCCCACAGTGATTAGGGCATTAAAATAACAACAGTGTTCTGCTGCTTTGCGTTTTTGCAGCATATTAGATCAGCTTTCATCACCATGAACTCATCTGTGACAAATTATAAGCCGTTTAGTTTGTGCAAGCTGATTTGGCTGTGTCTTTATGTCATGCTCTTTGATCCATAAATTTCAAAATTAAAAAAAATCCTTTATCCTAAATTTAATATACATGATTCAATTTACAGACTGAATTTACAATTTTTTAAACAAAAGTCCAAATATAGCAACAAATATTGGGGGATAATACACAAAAAGGAAGCTCAAAATAAGTACCTCCAAATATTTTGAAAATATAATGGAGCATCTCACTTAAACCGTACACATCATAAATTTATAATGAATTTAAGATCAATATTTTAAATATCACAGGTTAATATATTTATGAAGAATATTACTGAGTAAGCATTGAATAAGCAATGTCAGCCATCTCAGCAAATACCTTATATAAGAATAAAAATTAAGATATAAAAATAATTTTGATACATAATTACTTTTTGTTGTAAGTACTGTGGTTCACACACTTTAAAAACTTGTGAGATTCACTTAAAAATAGATTCTGTTAATAATTAGTACCTTGTATTGAATTCTTAGTGTTCTCAGAAACTGGGCATAATGTTATCCATGGCTTGTTCCATATGGTCTTATCTTTGAAGGAAATCGCTGTGCTTCCCATTTTACAGATGTGGAGGTAGAGAGAGATGTTAAATAACTAACAAAATGTTTTGCTCCCACAAAATATCAGAACTGAGATTTCAAAACTAGGTCTCTTAGATGACAAGGTATATGTTTGTAATCACTGCCATGCTAATGATCCTAAGATTATAATTATGGATGCACATTAAGACAGTGTAAATATTCAGTCGTCTTAACATTTGTGCCTAGGCTAAACTGCAGCTTATGATTGTCACTGAATTATAGAAGTTTTATTTCATGAATAAACATAAATGAATATGTACGAAATGCCTCCATTCCCTGCTACAAAACATTTGCCTTTGAAGTCACCACTTGGCCAGTTTGGATCTGAGTTGAGCATTTAGCAAAAGTTAAAATGTAATGCCAAACTTCATTGGTTGGATTTTTTATTAGATAAGGTAGAAATGAAAGCAGCAGGCAATTTAATTAGCAGTAATTTTTCTGGGCAAGTCATTACTTTGATGAACTTCAGAGCAATGTTTATGGCTCCTAATTAACCATGTTAGTCATTTGATTGAATAATCACTTTGGAAATGTTTCTACAATTTGATTAGAGTCTGACCCACTCTGATGGTTATAAATTAACTGATATCGCTTTAGGATAACATGACTTTAGTTACTTTAGGGAAATAAACTCCTCTTAGCCATATTTTTTTTTAGGCTTCTCTTTTCTGTTTAAAGGATGCTGAATTTAAAGACAGACTGAATTTAGACAATGCAGCCGAGTGTCTCAATTTCAAGAGCTAGATGTTAATTTTATTTATTCTGAGGTGTAATAAATAGTATAAGAACTGGCATAAACACAAATATATTCTCATGTATGCTTTTTTTTTTTTTTTCTAAATTGCTGTTTGGTCCTTTTTTTTTAGAACTTAGATCACAAGATGAGCCTTTGGAAGTGTAATGGAAGCCTGGCATCAGGTGTATTTTATGTCATTAATTTATGGTGAATTTTAAATTAGTATACTTTGAACATCATAGATTAATAAGTAGAATTTTTGAAGAATATTAAAGCACGGCAGAAAACAATAAATCATCCAGTTCAGTAAATACCTGAGTGTTAGTGAAATGACCCATCGAATCCTATCTTTGATGTCCAATGTCTAGTTTTCCAGAATTATGCTTGTTTTGTGTGATGTTGGAGTACTTTTACAAACTGGCCCTTCAACTCTCTCAGAAATGCTTCAACTTCTCTTCTCCCCCTCCGGGGAGAAGGACTACATTTAGTCCCACTTATATATAATAGAGTTTAACCTGTACGTTTTCGAGCTGCCTCCAGAGCCAGCCAGCTGTTTTTACAGCCACACTGCAGCTGAGCAGCAGTCAGTAAAAGTATTTTGTGGCAGGGTGTCAACATCAGTTCAACAAAATGCTTGCCTCTAAGCAGCTGCTGAGCTGATGGCAGAGTCATTAACACAGCCCCTTCCAGGCCCAGCTGCATGAAGGACCTTATGCCTTGGCAATAAATCAAAATAACATTAAACATTAATTTGAAGTACCATTGGTTAAAAAGTTGGGATAAAATGGATTGCTAATTATTTGGTGACCCAGAAGATCAGCTCCATTGCAACCCTATTATAAGCACTGATATCAGAAAACAAGGTTTAACCCTGCCTTTTATAGGGTTGGAACTATAAACTGCATAATACTTTAGAGAAGGCACAGCACAATAAAATGTTTGAAAATGAGTTTGACACTATTTTCAGCTTGTAAACTATTGATTGCTAGATGCTTTTCAATGTTATTGCTGTTAAGGATCGCCATTAAGATATTTTTGACTAGGATTTTATAATGTATGTTTTTTTTTCTGTGAAATGATATCTCATATTTTGGTTGACATTGATCACCAGGCAAATTTTTAGAAAATCAGATAGACTTTAAAAATGGGGGGAAAAAAATAAATAAATTAAAATGGAACATTCTGGACCTAAAAAGGATGACATCTGGGCTAAATAATGGTCATTATCTATTATAGCATGAAGTTTATAGACTGATAGTTAAAAAAAGAGAAGAGTCTTTAGATTCCAATTCACTTAAATGCTATTACTTGTTCAGAACTTATATCATTACTACAAGGGGTGGAAAGGAGGTTGTATTCTTATATTAAATAGCAACCTTGTCATATATATTTTAAAGATCTGTTTTTGTATGTGCTTAGTTGCTCTGTCATGTCCCACTCTTTGTGACCCCATGGACTGTAGCCTGCCAGGCTCCTCCATCCATGGGGATTCTCCAGGTAAGAATCCTGGAGTGGATTGCCATGCCCTCCTCCAGGGGATCTTCCCGACCCAGGGATAGAACTCAGGTCTCCCACATTGCAGGCAGAGCCCCCAGGGAAGGCCCCCCCTTTTTTTGTATATGCTTATTTTTGTAGATATTGCTTTAAAATCTTTAGTAATACATACAGAATATAGAATCAACTTAATCATGTTTATGCATCTATGGAAACTATACATGTTATATTCAGATTTGGACCCAGGTTTTAGGTACCTACAACTTATAAAATGTGGAACCTGAAAGAAAAAATAAATGAAATGACATATACAAAATTAGGCTTAAGGTCTCAGCAGCACTTTTGCAAGTGGAGGGTCTTGAGGTTGAAACTTCAGTCTTCACCGTGAATTGACCTCTGGTTAGGCAAGTGAACTTCCAAATTGAGAGTCAAAGAACAGCAGACTCAGATAACATGTGACCCAGTCCTCTATTTTATATAAACTTAGAAAAGGGCTTATCTAAAGTCATATAGCTTTATTAGTAGTAAATGAAGGACCTGAATTTTTATCTTTTGTCTCTTAAACCTGTATTTCTTTCCTTTTCCCCATATCTAAGCTGCCCATCACTTCATGGAAAATAGATGGGGAAACAGTGGAAACAGTGTCAGACTTTATTTTTCTGGGCTCCAAAATCACTGCAAATGGTGATTGCAGCCATGAAATTAAAAGATGCTTACTCCTTGGAAGGAAAGTTATGACCAACCTAGACAGCATATTGAAAAGCAGAGATGTTAATTTGCCAACAAAGTTCTGTCTAGTCAAGGCTTTGGTTTACCAGTGGTCATGTGTGGATGTGAGAGTTGGACTGTGAAGAAAGCTGAGTGCCAAAGAATTGATGCTTTTGAACTGTGGTGTTGGAGAAGATTCTTGAGAGTCCCTTGGACTGCAAGGAGATCCAACCAGTCCACCCTAAAGGAGATCAGTCCTGGGTGTTCATTGGAAGGTTGATGCTGAAGCTGAAACTCCAATACTTTGGCACCTCATGCGAAGAGTTGACTCATTGGAAAAGACCCTGATGCTGGGAGGGATTGGGGGAAGGAGGAGAAGGGAACGACAGAAAATGAGATGGCTGGATGGCATCACCGACTCGATGGACATGAGTTTGAGTAAACTCCGGGAGTTGGTGATGGGTAGGGACGCCTGGTGTGCTGTGATTCATGGGGTCACAAAGAGTCGGACGTGACTGAGTGACTGAACTGAACTGAACTGAAGCTGCTAAACACATTAGATACACAGCCATCACTATGACTCAAGTTTAACCATTAACCAAGTTTTATTTTCTCAGAAATGAATTAAGTTGGTCATACAAGTAAGGCCTTGCTCTTAGGGTAGCAATCCTGTTTGCTATTGGATTTCTGCTGTTGGATTTGTTGCTGTTGAATGTGTTGCTGTTGGATTTCTCTTTTATAGCTTTGCATATGGCCTGTGGGCTTAACAAAATGAAAAGTCAGTCTTGTTTTTGTTTGAAGAAAAAAAAATAGCAGTTATCTTACTAGGCTGAAGTAATTGTAAGAGACATAACAATTTTGTCTTTTCATGATGATTTCTAGCCAATGTTCATGAAATAAACTATGAACGAGTCTTTTATTGATCTTGCTTTGGTTGCCACTGGGTAAGCAAATTTATTCCATACATGTCCTGAAATGTCTTTTAACTCATGGTGCTATTTGTTTTGAGGACACCATCACATTTATGTGCTGTTGCTTAGCCAACCTTTAGTTTAGTAAGGTTGGTGTGGGTAAAACTTCGAATTCACACAGCGGTTCAGGAGAATCACTGTTCACCATGATATGGTTCTCATCCCTACGTCTCTTGTGCAGGCCCCACCTGCAGTGTTACCTATGTGTTGACAAGTTCCCCTCAGGAGACTCGTGTATGTTTCTATTACTTTCCTATCTGCACTCTGTCCACTGATAACAACACGTTTTCAGCTCCAGACTTCTCTTTGACCGATGTTGTTTCCTCTTTCAGAAGTGCCTAGCTGCCACTCCATTTATATGAGGCAAGAAGGCTTCCTGACTCATCCCAGCAGAACAGAAGTTAAGTTTTCCATTATTGAAATTCTTGTAAATACTTGTCAACATAATCAGTCCTCCTCAGGATGCTGTCACATTATCATGATATACGGGAAAAATCACTTAGGTCCACTAAACCATTGTTTTAAAACTTTCTGAAGTAAAAGGAAGATTTTTCAGGTCATGATCTCTTATATTTTGTTAACATGAGTCATGTTCATATAAACAGCTGATAAGTGAATTTCTCTGTTCTTTTTTGCCAACAACCACATCCTTTTAAAATAGAACATGTGCTTTATAGATCACCCACCTTACTGCTGCTGAAATGTATCTTCAAGGAATTTTCAGTTGTGCTTTAGAGAGCTAAGTAGTTGTGTTGAAATAAAATGCAGTTGATTTAAATACAGTCACATTTAAATATCCTGGATTTTACATTTGGGGACAAGTAATTGTTAAGCCTCACACAAGAGGCTTAGAAAAGGTGTTTTTCTCATGGATGTGTTATAGTAACTTCGGTGGCAAAGTTTTGTTCTAATGGGTATGATATTTGCAAGGTAATGTATGAAAGTTCTTTTATCTGGATAGACTAACCTTTAAAGGATTTCCTGAATTATGTGCACGATCCTTGATGTCAACACTGTGTGTCTTCAATGAAATGACTTGGATCCATCCTTCTAGGTTGAGTGTAACATTGGTTGTTTTGCATCAATAGAAGTTAACCCCTGTGTTGAAAAGATAATAAAATGAGATGGTAAATCCAGAATATACAAGACCAAAATTTTGCACAAATGCAATTTAATTGTTGTTGTTGTTAATATTATATACCTACCACAGAGACCAATACTTATGAGAAATAAAACTGTGACTAAATTATGTGAAATTTCTTTCTAGTAATTAAAGATAACAGCAATTAAATGAAAGTCCCACAGTCAAGGATATTTGGGGGAGAAAATGATTGTAGAAAGCCGTCAATTTATTTTGCATTTTTTCCAAGGATTTAGCAATAAAGGAAAATTCTTTTTTTTTTTTTTTTTAATCTGACTTGTCTATTGAAGATGAAATCATGAGGTTAATGCAGCTAAATATTTCTGTAAAGGAGTGCGGGGGTAAATTGTATTTGTTTCAATTCATCAGGGTCATAATGCAAGATAAATGTCAGTAATTCTGATTATCCTCTCATCTGTTTGAATAATGAAACTTGGAAGCAAACAAAAAAGAAGATAATTTGTTTTACATCGCAGGTTTGCCAGTGTTTACATGAGCATTATTGGCTTAGTAATAATATATAATGTAGCTAACTTTCATATATTACCATGTGCCAATCACTGTCCTAAAGTTGCATATATTGAACCATTCAGTCCTCACCACAGCCCTATAAGATAGGTGGCTTATTATCATTCCCATTTTATAGATGAGGAAACTGAGGCACAGAGGTTAAATAATCTGTCCAAGGTCACAGAGTGGAAAAGTGATATCCTTCTCTGCCTCTATTTTTGCATTCATGGTTATATTTTGAATTGTTTGTGAATTTTATTTCTGTCAAGAATAAATGTATCCCATTTCCCCTCCACAGGCTGCATGTTTGAAAAGGGCCCCAGGCAGTTTTATGATGATACCTGTGTCGTCCCAGAGAAATTCGATGGTAGGTTTTTCATTGTGTATCAAGTTTTGATTTCTCTAAGAGGCTCTGGAGAGATCACCCTCGCCTCTCCTGAAAGCAGTCAACATTGCTACTTAAAGATTTTCATGCTCATCACTTACAGTGCACTCAAGTCTCGCTAAACTTTACCTCTTATAAATTCCCTTTCCTTTTCCCATTAAGAAGCTTTTCTCTTTTGTCCTATGAGAGATCCCATTTTTAAAGACAGACAGAGTATCATTCTTGCTGAGCTTTATGTAGAATAAGAGAGGGCCCTTTCCATTGCCCGACTGAGTACATGTAGCTTGTTGTTTGAGATGTATTGAAAGCTGATCCCGTAATTAACAAAGCGGAGCAGAAAGCTTGCTACTGTGGACGCACAGATGACTAATGTAGCCTCTTGCCTTTTATTGTTCATGAAAAGATGCATTATGGAACACAGGAGCAACATAGCTGCCCATTTAGTTAGTGATTGTGCATCCTCTTCTTTTTTTTTTCCTTTGGAAGATGTTCATTACTAATGTGACATTAGTTTGTAATTGCTCCAAATGGATTTAGGAAAGCATTACCTTTTTAATATCACTTGCTGTGGCAATGAAAATGAAAATATCACCCCCACATGTTAGAAAGGGGTAAGGGGTGTCAAGTCAGAGAGACTCTTCTCTTGGCAAAGATGGCAACAGTCGGCATCTAAAAGGAGGCTTGGGTAAAAAGTGAACAGGTGATTGACTTAGCGGTTCTTCAGAGTGGTCTCCATATTTCTCGCTTTGATTGTTTAACTGGAAACGAGCGGGGGTCTTCTCATTAGCTGGTTGCATAAACTTTCGGGATCACGGCTGTAATGACTTGGTAGCTCTTGGGAGTGTTAATTGTCATTATTTAAACAGCAAAGGATATGCACAGATTGCTCCTCTGTCTCTGATTCGTTGCCTGAAGACTACTCTGTTCTCGATGCTTTTACTCCTCTTAGACTTATCAGACAGGATGACCAGTCTTGGGAATATCTGTTTCCTTAGCCTCCCTTTATACTGCTAAATTCATGCCAAGGTCACGGGTTAAACTCCAACTTTCAGTCTTATTCTATAATAGATGTTAGTTTTAACCTTTGAGTTTCAGAGATGTGATGTGTGCTATTGTATTTAGCACCATTAGCAGAGCATCAAAATGCTTAAAATCTAGGTTTTTTCTCTTGAAATAAAGCAGAAAGTCTACTTTTTGGAATGACCTTCATCAGTTCCTTTCATATTTAGTGAGTTAACTTTTTAAGAAATCACCATAATTAGTATGGGCATATAAGGAAGAAAAACATTTCAAAATATAGACAAGATCAGGGTATAATCTAACAGGGTAAAGACAGAGTCACACTTGTATTTGGGGAAACTAATTGTCTTGATTATTTTTTCCCTTTGATTTTTAAATACTTCTCAGCTTTATACTAAGAAAACATTTTGGGCAAAATAGTATTGGGCTTACATTTTATAAGAAAAGGAGAACAAGAAGAAAGAAAAACAAAGAAATGTTTTTTCCTTGTGCAAGGCCAATATGATCAGTCGGTTTTATAGGCAGAAGCAATCTAAAGGTTAGGACATTTGAGTGTTTCATTTCATCTGCAAAATTATTCATTCATCCCCATGAAAATTTCTAAATCTCAGAAGGAAAACCTAAAATAAATAAAACTATCACTGAGCAATATGAAAGACACTTCCATATTCTATAGCTTAGACCAAAACAGCATAATGATTTTTAGCAGCTATTGAGTGAATAATTTTACTTTGATTTTTAAAGTATTTTTTCTATCATTATTTTAAGAGATGTAGTTCTATCTTCTGACCAAAGGAAAGTTTTTAAAAAGCTTGTGATTTGGGCTGTTTTATAATTCACTCTTCGTGTTAGTGTATCACCTTAAGTATATTCTTGTCTAAATTGTTTCTAAACAATTTCCCTCTGCATGAAGGAGAGAAATTCATGCATTAATAGTGATATGCTTATAGGACCTTAGACATTCAATTCCCCATGTGGCTGTTTCCACATATTTTTGAGACAGTTTGCTGGAGCTGGAAGTGTATAATCAGTAGTCATTAAACTGAGTTTGTGTGTGTGTTTTCTTTTGTTCGATTGTTTGCTTTTGGTAAAATCAAAATATCTGACCAGATTTATACCAAAGAATTGGAAACTGACACCTTTATTGCTGTAATCTATTTAATAGACTTTTACAGTTTGTATGTAGCACAAACAATCCTTTCTTGTTTAAAAATGCAGATTTACCGAAAACTCTGGTATGTTCATTTTTATGTGTATATGCATTTTTGAATCAGACTTTCAGAAAAAGAAAAACAAGCTAAACTCAAATAAGTGCAATATAAACAATAGATAAGGAAAAATGAGAGAATTTTCACTTGCTGCTAGCTGAGAAAAGCATGGTGGCAATATGAATGTGTGGTAGAAAAATGGCATGATGGTAATCCAGTATGCCTTACATCACCCATGATCTTTTCCTGATTTTTACTTAGCTCGCAGAGTTTAAGCTGCTATTAAATTTGCTTTGAAACATTTGCATTTAAATTTTCAATAGTTTGTCACATGCAAATCAATGAGGTATTTATAAATTGTAGTTTGCAAATTTTAATTTGTATAAATAAAATGCCTGGAGTTTAAGATTGATTATTCCCTCTCCACTGTTGCTTAGAGTAGGTATATGTGTGTTTGTGTGTGTTAGTTGCTCAGTCATGTCTGATTCTGTGACTCCATGGGCTGTATAGACTGCCAGGCTTCTCTGTCCATGGACTTCTCCAAGCAAGAATACTGGAGGGGGTAGCCATTCCCTTCTCCAGGGGATCTTCCTGTCTCAGGAACAGAACCTGGATCTCCCACATTGCAGGCAAATTTCTTTACCATGTGAGCCACCGGGGAAGCCCTGCTTAGAGCAGTAAGAGATGACATTAACAATGAAGTAAAGAAGTAGGATTAGATACTATAGTTTTTAAAATGTATCTGAAGAAAAAAAAGATACAGTGTTTTTATAAGTCAGTGCCATCTATGCTTTTATTTCGCCCTGTGCATTTATATTGACCTATGTGTAGTTATCTGTAAGTTTGTAGATTATATTCAACCATTTAGCTGTGTTAAGTCCCTATTTAATGAAAAAGATGTATTTCATAGAAACTCTTAAATTAGTTGTGGTTTAACCATTTTTAGTGATTATTTTAACATAAATTTTATATAAATGTCATAATAATGCTAATCCTAGAAACTTAAAATGTTTTTAATTTAGGAGACATAAAACAGGAGCCGGGGATGTATCGGGAAGGACCCACATACCAGCGGCGGGGATCACTTCAGCTCTGGCAGTTTTTGGTAGCTCTCCTAGACGACCCTTCAAATTCCCATTTTATTGCCTGGACTGGGAGAGGCATGGAATTTAAACTGATTGAGCCTGAAGAGGTGAGTTTCATAGATTCTGTTTAGGGAAATCAGCTATGTCATAATAGAAAGACACATACATGATTAATATGCCAAAAATTCATTCTTTAATTTTAAAACTTTAGAGGGGAACATTTTGAGTGAAAAGGTAGTCCAAAGGGGGAAACAAAAAAGCAGGCATACACGTAAAATAAGAGATGAACATGTCACTGGCTTGTTCCAGTTGAATACCATCCTATAGAATTGATGTTGAAGAACATCAACTGGAACTGTACTGTGCATACGTGCTAAGTCACTTCAGTTGTCTGACTCTATAGGGCAGGACCTGGGACTTCTCTGAAGGTGGCCTCTAAGTTGGGCATGTTGGATGGTCTTTGAGAAAGAGAGGAATATGCATCAAGTTCAACTCATTTTGGGGAGAGAGAAATTGTTCTTGAGAATCAGCAGTTATTAACTGGACAGTCTTGATTTTGGGCAGGAGGGTCAGAGAGGAACATTAAGAGAACTAAGTCATGTGTAAGAGGGTTGTAGGGGAGACACAGCTGTGGGAATAAAGGCACTCAAAGGTCACAGTGGGAAATTCTCACTTCTTAGGTGTCTCTTAGGAGACACAGACCCATAGGAATATTGTTACCCTTTGATTAATGGTGATACCTGTTTCGAATCAGCTGGGCAGTGTACACGCCATTGGAAGGTAAGAATAAAGTTTAAGATGTCACCGTGATACCTAAGAAATTGCCAAAATGAGAGGACTCTGGATAGAGATACTATGGGTAAATGGAACTCCTTTCATTCTGTTCAGTTGTCTGACCCCGTTCCAACCTGCCCTGGTGTACATACAAATGGAGTATTTTCCTATAAAACTTCTCAAGTCAATGTTTATTCTTCCTGAGAGTAGCTTTAGATTTAAGCCTACTATTATTATTACAGTGTAACCTACCAAATAGCATTTTGGACCTCAAGAGAAAGGCGACGTTTTTTATTTCTTTACACTTTTGAAAGAATGTTCCCTATGCTGGATCTGGGTCGCAGTGCGCGGTCTTCTCGTGTGGTAGCTAGTCTTGTGGAGCGGGGTCTCTAAGGCACAAGCTCAGCGGTTGTGACACCCAGCTTTAGCTGTCCCCCAGCAGGTAGAATCTTCCCCGACCAGGAATCGAACCCACGTGCCCCACATTGCAGGCAGACTCTCAACCACTATACCAACAGGGAAGTTTGAAGGGCAGACTTTTGACGAAAAGTTTGTGTCTTTTCATGAAAGATGCTTTCTCTCTTTACATTAGCTGAGAAAGCATTGGGAGACTTTTAGCTAACATGGCTATGAGTCATATTGGCTATTGTATCTAAACCCCTCAGAAAAGTAAAAAAAAAATTCAGAGATATCTATTTTTTTAAACTCAAATTAATTTGTTTCATGTAGATTTGACATCTGCAACATAGGCTAATGGGCCTATATACAGCTTACATTATCTGCTCTGTGAGTCTGTGTATTCAGTCATAGTCAGATACTATGTCCTAATTTGATATCCAGAAGATAAGATGATAGTACTTGTAAAGATTTAAGGGATCTATTTGATTGGAATATGGACTGAATAAAGTATGAAATGAGAGGAACTGATGAGCACAAGTAAGCCTACTCCAGGTTATATCAATGAGAGGGTATGCTTCCATCTTCTTTAGCCCCACACCAAGTATACACAGGTGCATGCATACATACCTACCCACACACAGAGGGCTCAGGATCAAAACTATAAGTATCCATTATCAAGTATGGGCTAAGTGTTTGGGTAGTTGAATTTTGTATTGTGTCTAAAACTTAATTTGGCTGTCAAAGGAAATTCATTTTTATGTTGATGTACTTAAATAATGTAAGTGAAAGAACCACAGAAATGCGAAGCACTAAAGATTGAGGCTAGAGTCACTTAACATAAAGCAATTTGAAAGCCCGTTAAGTAATGATGAGAATGTGAGCTCTTCATCTCATGAAAGATGTTAATAATCACTGCAAGAGTTGGTTCGCACTAGACCTTAAGGACGTCCAGCAGAGATTTATACCAGTTACTTCTGTCCATCTGTGATTAAAGTGAGCAGAAGCAGAATTTTTATATTGTTGCCATGGGCTTCCCTGATAGCTCAGTTGGTAAACAATCTGCCTGCAATGCTGGAGACCACAGTTCGATTCCTGGATCCGGAAGATCCCCTAGAGAAGGGAAGGGCTACCCACTCCAGTATTCTGGCCTGGAGAATTCCATGGACTGTATTGTCCATGGGGTCACAAAGAGTCGGATGGCCGTCACTTTCACTTTCATTTGTTAAGATGGGGGTATGACTGAATTACATCAGTGATTACTGATCCACTTAGAAGTGTAAAAATTCTTAGACAGGTGATTAAGTTCTTTATGTGTTGATTTTTAAGCTGATCGTGTTGAAACAACTAGAATAGGAGGCTTGACCAGGGGACCATTATGTTACATAAGATTGTGAATGCCTGACTTTTTTTTTTTAGCCTAGAAGGAAGACAATTGTATCTGTTCTTACGACAAGCTGACATTTAGATACCTTTTTCTGTAGCAGATTCTGAAAGTAAAAAAAGAGCTGAGGAATTGAGGGAGTCCCCAGACCATTTCCAAATAGTAACTCACTCACTCCCTGGCAATAGCGAAGCAAGCACTGAACGTCTCCGAAGGCCTTTTGTTCAAAATGAGACATCCCACTTCTGATTGCTGCATCGCTTACTGCTGCCATTTCCATCAGGCAATGACTCTGCTGTTTATGTTTAAATTTCTTCTTTGGGAAGTGTTTGTGAAATTCCTTTAGTCTCTGTGGCCCCAGGTCACCCTCTTCTTTCAATCACGCAGCAGTTCTTTGAGGGTCTGTGACAGCGCAGCTCATGAAAGGTGGCTGTGAAACCATCCTTGTTGGAATTACTTTAAGTTCCACTTCTTTATATTCTTGCAGTTTAAAATGATACCGAGTGAGATTTCAGTCTTGCACTGATTGTCTGCTCTTTGTGTTTAGGATAACTGCAGCAAGTGCATAATCTTTACCTCGTCTCTCTTTGAGATATTTCAAATTATGGGATCTTATTTTTTAATTAATCATGGGTCCTGGGAAATTGTTCCAGGGAACAGTTATTGACATAGCAAAGCATCTATAGGACACAGCATGCTAAGTCATTTCAGTTGTGTCCGACTCTTTGCGACCCCATGGACTATATAGCCCACCAGGCTCCCTTGTCCATGGGGATTCTGCAGGCAAGAATACTGGAGAGGGTTGCCATCTCCTCCTCTGGGGGACCTTCCTGACCCAGAGATCAAACCCACATCTCTTACATCTCCTTCATTCACAGGTGGGATTTTACTGCTAGTGCCACCTGGAAAGTCCATAGGACGCAAGTCTTTTGGTAATATTCAAGATTGTTGAGCTGGGAGAGTTACAGAGAAGTCTGATAGCCAGGCCCAGGTTGTGGTTTCTAGGTTTACTGTTGCATATTCAAGCGTGATTTTAAAAAATAAATTGAATAATATTAATAATTGAACAATTACATTGTCCTATTTAATTCATTTGACAATAAGGGTAAATGCTATAGTGCTACAGAGATCTTTCCACTCTCCTCATTGACAGCCAACGTTTTCATTTGAAAGAATGTTATAAGGAAGTTACTAGAAGTATTGGCACTGTTGTCCACGCTCCATGTTGAAAGTGCTCCTTTGGCTTTTGGTAGCGCTGGAAAGTGGCTTTTGGTAGTGCTGGATGTAGTGGTGATTGTGATGGGTCATTCATGAGGGCTGGATGAACTTTCTTAGTTGTTAGATGGTCTCACCTGTCCCGGAAGTTTTTATGTTATCTGTTCATTTTAAGTTTCAATCTTTTAAAACAATTTTATTATGATAGGAACACAACATGGGATGTATCTTTTTATCCAGTTTTTAAGTGCTTTGTCCAATATTGTAAACTAGAGGCACAGTGTTAAAGCAGATTTCTAGATCTTCCTTTATTTTCCCTAACTTGTCTGCATCTCCTAGGCATATGGGTATGTCTCATTTTCCTCAACTTCATGATAAATGTGATATTGAAATAGTTCTAAAAATAAATTTGACTGTTTTAATATGTCTACTGATAACCCACAGTGCTATGAATTAGCTGGCATCATAAAAGTCAAACTGCTTATGATATTAAAAAAAAGACTTCTTTCTCTCCCTGGAGACTTCCTCTGGGGAGAGAGGGAGTTATTGTTTGTCGCAGGTTATTTTGCTTTCTAGGTGCATCCTGGTGAGCTTCTAGAAAAAAGTCATTAGCAAATGCCAAAGTATTCAGAAATTGTTGTTCAATTTAAGGAGATACTGATAATTTATTTTCACATCTTCTCCAGGTTCACAGGCTCTTCAGTTGTCCTATTAAAGATTCACTGATAACCATTATTAGCTGTTTAAAAGATGTTTAATTTAGAAAGTATTGCTTTCACTTATTATTGCCACTTGCCCATCACACTATTGCTCCTAACATTTACATTAAAATTAATTTTATCTTAATTAATGGAATTAATTAATTGATTTATTAATAATAATTAATGGAGTAATTAATGGAATTCATTAGTTAATTAATCCACTAATTAATGGAATATTAATGTGTGCCTGTCACTGTGACTTTCTTTTTTTTTTAATATTTGGAGATATATAGTCATGGGGATGTGACATCACATCTCTTTGCTTTTAAAAAGTATACTGATGCTTGTGACTAAATTACATTGTATCTTCATTCAGGAAATAGAAATTAGTGAGAGAGAAAATAGGAAAGATCAGTGTTTTTTAAAGAAAAAAACAAACCACAGAGAAAGGTTATTGCTAATAAAACAGAGTATTTCTGCAAAGCATTCTGTAAGATTTTGCTATATGGCACACAACAACAACTTGGAGTTCTATGAACTTGAAGAAGAATGCCAGCCCTGTTAGAAAATGCTCTCTCCGGCTTGCCTAGGTATACACTGAAGCTTCAGTTTCTGTTCAGATGAAGCAAAGGTGGAAATTAATGAGGATGTGGCTTTGACTGGGATCACAAAAGCAGGCCACCCTGTTCTGGATCGTCTATAGCTAACCCAGGGTAGTGGGAAGGGAGGGGATACAGATTCGTTGAGGAAGGAGGTTTTGCTAAAGCTCTATTGAAGAACTTTGTCTTTGCCAGAAAAGTTGCACTTCCAAAGCCATATTATAAAAAGCTCAGAGATTGTTCATGAAAACACAAAGTGGATATTCTGCTTTAGAGATTTTTTTTGTGGACTCATATGCATGGTGACCTTTTTCGCTTCCTTCTTATTTTTAGCATCCAATTACTGTTCTTTAAATGAATGCTTAATTCCCCCAGTTTAGTATTGACTGCACTTTTTTTATTTTCTGATGCTGCTTCAGGCAATAAAAATTATGTACAGTTCAGCTTACTAATTTGTGCACACTAAGCCACTTGTCTTTTAGCCAGTGTGTTTTAGCCAGTGTCAAGCAGGGTATCTTTTTTCCTTTGATTTATCATAACCTCAAAAACACCTTTTCCAAGAGATCTTTATTTATAGATGAAGTTGCTCTTCATCTTTAGTTTTTAATCTGAAAAAGAAATAAGAAGGAAAAAGCAGAAAGGGGACCTCAGGATGGGAAATGTGCCTCATTTTGGTGAATTGCAGCCTGTTCATTCCCGTTGTAAACACATTCCCTTATTTCCATTTAATTTTGTATCCAAAACAATACTGACAATGAATTCTATTGTGATGTTTCAGAATGATCACTTAATGCCTGGTTGAAAAAGCAAACCAGGACCCAGGAAATACAGATCATGATAGCTTTTTGCCTCTTATACGTAGGCCATTGATTTGGATATGTTTAAGATGGTTCGGAAGTAATTAATGAATTAACGTAATTTTTATGAAATATGTTGATAAGATAATACTTAACACAACAATGTAATTCTGTCTCGGTGGCAGGTGGCCAGGCGTTGGGGCATTCAGAAAAACAGGCCAGCTATGAACTATGATAAACTTAGTCGTTCACTCCGCTATTATTATGAGAAAGGAATCATGCAAAAGGTGAGCAGCTAACACAGCATTAAAATTTATTGAAATATTTCACATTCATCTGCATGTCATACTTCAAAGCCATATATCATTACATTGCTGAAGCAAGGTTTTCGCTCACTTTAACGTATGCTTAGCTGTTGGTTTCTGTTTATAAATTTATGAGCATTATAGGCAAATGTGTAATGCAAAATAGGAGACTTTCTGGAAGTCCCCACTTTTCTATGTTTGGTAAAAAAAAATCCTGCTTTAGTAGTAATATGGCAATATATGTCCCCAAAAGTTGTTGTCATTTTGTTCATTCTCCACAATTATACAATTTTGCATATTAGCTGAATGTTTCCTTTTCTTCTCTTTTTCTGATTCTTAAAATATTCAGAGCATTTCTTGTTCTCATTCTGAAAAACATCTTTTCTTGGCTGATTTCAGTGCTTGACAGCTTAACATCTTAAACAGTTGATTCGAAATAAGTATTTAATCTTATCTTGTTGGCATAATGATATTAAATATGATTTATTTCAAATGAGTGTGGCTTAATATTTCAAGGTAGCTTGTATAAAAAGTGTGAGATAAAACAAATGAATTACAACTGGGACAAAATCTAAAATTTTTGAAGATGGTAATGAATAAATAAAGATAAAACATTTGGGTATTTGTTATTATTAACATCCTTCAGCCTTGCATGTGTACTCAATCTGTTAGTCTTGACTGTGAACAGGCATTTCAGGATTTATCCATCGTGAATGTTACATTATAGTTTCATTATGTGTCCTTTGTTCATTTATGGAAACATGGGCATAGTTACGTGTTACAGATTATGGCATAGTTTTATGTCACCATAGTTATGCCAAGAAAAACTATACCAGTTGGTCCAAGACAGTGGTAAAAGAGGGGGAAATGGCATCATTTGGGCTTTCTAGACCAAAGGCAATCTGCTGTCTTGTTAGCCAGCCAGTAAGTTAGAACTTCAAAGAGCCTTAAAAGATGAGGTTGAATTGGATTCTTAATTGCTTCCTGTTTCCCTGAAGCTCACCCTCAAATTGTGAAACCAGTTACTATCTGCTCCTTCTTCTCCATCTCAATCCTGGAGTCTTTTTTTAATTCTTCCCTTTCTTTCACCAACCACTCCTGTTTACAGCCAACCTTTTTCACATACATACCATTCTTTTCATTTTCATCACCGTGTTCGTAATCAGGCATAGCAAGTAAACTGGCACAGTAGGTCTTCTCCAGCTCCCCTGAGCAGTGTTACACGGCGGTAACAAATGCAGGCATGACTTTGGTTTGCATGTTAGTGTCTTGTTAGATTACTGTTTTTGAACAGATTCTTCTGCTAGTAAGCAGCAATATTCTTTCCTCATGAAGCTGCTGTGATCGTTAAATGAAATAATATACTTGAGACACTTGCCTTGTACCTGATGTAGTGAAAGTCTTCAGCAGATGGTATCTGTGAATAAATCTTGCACCTTGAAGCCAAGACATATATAGCTGTGTATCTTGACTAGTAAGCCCCTTACTAAAGGGAGCAGTCACAGAAAGCTAAAAGTATCTCAAAATATCTAATCATACCTCAACTTTTACACACAGTGTTTAAAGGGGTATCTTCAGGATGTTATGTCTGGTCTTAGATATTATCAAAGGTATTCAAACTTATGCTTATTACTGATATCATTACTTCCATATTCCCATTTATTTATGCAGTTATCACACATCCCATTTGTTTACCTCTTATCTTAAGAAAATAATAAGACAAGATGCTTTCAAATGATCAAATGATAGCATAGATGTTAGAATACAGAGAAAAATGTGGCTCCTCAAATTTTCCCTATTAGGCTGTAATTGCCAAGGTAAACTGTTAGTAACTATTTATCAGCCAATATAGGATAGCAAAATGTATACTTAACAGGCCTTTTGGGGTATCCCATATGATATAAGGAAGAATAGGTCATTTAAAGGTGAAAATGCAAGAGTTGAAGTGTACTTGTAACTAGCACAACAGTAAAGATTGTGACAGTTTCTGTAGACATACATATTTACTCTTCATTACACGTGTTGAGCCAGTCTGCTTCCTACTCTCTGATACACCTGTGGCTTTCTCATTGCTTCATTTTCTCCCTGATAACATAATGGATAAGTAAGTCCTAAGAGAGTCATTCAGAGGAAAATTGTGCAGTCCTTTAAAAAAATCTGAGATAGAATTACATATTTTAATGTGTAGGGGAAAATGTTTATCTGATGATGCTTGTATAAGAACTTAAAACTCTGTGTATATGTAGTGTATGTCAAGGAAAATTAAATGAAAAAATTAAAAACTAAAACCAAAGTGTATCAAAACGTGAAAGAAACCCTGATTATTTCAGTAGCTCTGAAGGAAGAAATGGTGAAGTAATGATTATTATACATTATAGACAATACATGTATATGCTTTTACTTCAAAATTTAAAAGTGCCTAATTAAAAGTATATACAGACATTTAAGTATTGATTATTGATTTTTGATTATTTCTGATATGATCAGATTATTATTTCTTTTGGTTTAATCTGTAATTGCAAGTTTTCCTCCAATATTTCTGTACTATTTTTGAAATTTTAAAGAGTTAACCCATAATTTAAATAGCTAGCCTTGCAAAGCACAGTTCAAAAGATAACCTCCTTGTTTAATTCTGAGTCATCTCTCTTGCAAAATTAATGTTTTACCTAAGCATTACTGTTTATATATACTCAGTGTATAACATTGTCTATATTTTAATTGTATTACTAATAAGAGGATTCATTATGTTCCTTGGTTGTTTATCAGTCCTTGTTCTAAACTCTGTGGCACTTAACATAATCCAATAAATAGAGTAGTAGCTCGAAATATGTTTAATGAAAGAAAAAGTAAAACAGTGTATAAAGGCAGGGTCCTTAAGAGATTTTATAATGCTGATTGCATATCTACATTTTAATTCTCCACAGTGATTTATTAAATAATTTCTAATTATAACCAATAGCAACAGGTTGTACAAAAACATTCCAGTAACCTAAAGCAAAGCAAATGCCTCCTCCTCAGTGGCTGCAAACAAAACAAAGCCAGTTATTAAACGCTCTGAGATATGCTGGCCAATTACTTCATTTTTTTCTCCAAATACTTTAAACAAAGGAATAACATGAAAACTGGGATTTAGTATTGTTGAGCTTTGTTTCTGATAGGGCCTATTTTTACTTTTATGGAAGTTTCATCATTTCACCTTTATGAACTTAATTTCCTTTTTATAAAGGCTAAAGTGTATAAAATACACTTATGCCAGACTCCTCTGTTTGCATGCCTTGTGCTAGAAACTTCCATCTCAGTCTTGCAACAGGCTTTCCAAGAAGCCATCCCTGCCTCCATTTCATCAAAAAAAGGGGAACTGAGGGCAGTTTAAGAAACTTGTCCAAAACCTAAGTGTTGGCTGTTTTCAAGGCTAAGGATATTCACAGTATTTGAATTCTCTAAATTGATTTCTCTTACAGGGTTAAAAAAAAAAAATCCAGGGCAAGAAACATTCTAAACCTGAGTCTAGAACAACAGTGCTCTTTGGTAGTTTTTTTCCTACAAACATGCACAGATAGTTTACAAACCATGAATTCACCATTTCCCCATGTCACAAAGCAACTAGTAGAGGTGTTGAGTAATTTTCACCTTTCTAAAATTACTGAACTCAACATACACACAAAAAGTTAGCATCAAACTTAATACAAAGAACTGTATTCATCCACTCCCACCCCCTACCCAAGCCCTCTGGGTTTTTGAGAAGCTCAGCATTGTCTATTAATGGCAGCGGGGGAGGGCTGTATTTGTTTCACTCAATTGTTTATAATTTCCTAGAGAAGCATTACTCTTCAAAATTTAAGTTTGGGATGTGTCATTTCCTACAAATTACGTTACTTCTCCTTTATTTCAGGCAGCTGTCACATTTCTTTTTCTCATTTCCTCCCTATGTATTGTATATTTTAAATTCCTTTCACTTTTTTTACACCTCTTAATTCAATTTGACACTATATATACATCCTTAACGTCTGTCTAAGGCATCTTGCTTTCATTTTTAAAAGTGATGTACCCAGGATAATACTGCCCTGTTGATCCATCTTTCATTTAAATAAGGCTATGCATCTTTCTTTTTTTCAGATGAGAATATACGGTGCAAAAGAAAAAATTAAAGAAAGGAAAAAGAATAGTTCACTCTGCGAATCAGTGAAGCACTGGTCTAGTCTTATTAGGAACACAATCCATTTTTTCTTTTAAGATTTGAAAGTTTAGCTTTTCTACAATTTCAGAAATATAATGTTAAGAGGGAAACACTACACTTTAAAGGTCTTGTTATTTTATAAGTACAATAGCTATTACCTTTTCAAACAGAGGGGAAAAAAATTCAATGTGAGATGCATGCATGAAATCATTGATTTTTTTCCCCCACATAACAATGTACATTTACATTTATATTAAAACAACAAACTGCTAAGTTTCTAGTTTTATCTAGAATGAATGTAATTATCACTCAAGGTCAGCATTTTGCATTTCCCTCGATTGAACTGTAATTTATCCCACAAAGTGAGGAATTTTTTTTTTTTCTATCTGTATCTGTTAATACTTGATTGCCTTTTCTTTTGTTATCCATTTTCTTTTGTTATCCATCCTTTCTGGAGCATTAAACCATGTTTTTATTCATTTCTTTCCCTGTGTTCTCCATTTGGGAATGGTGAAGATGAGGTTTTGTTTTCCTGTGTGTTTTAATTGCAGTGTAATTGATGTAATAATCTTGCATGAGCTTCCAATGTAAAATAGAATGATTGGATATTTGTATCTCTTGCAAAACGCTCACTATTCCAAGTTTGGGTACCATCCCGACATCCCACATAAGGATGGGCTTTTTCTTCCGTGTTTCCCTCAGGTGGCTGGAGAGAGATATGTCTACAAATTTGTATGTGATCCAGAAGCCCTTTTCTCCATGGCCTTTCCAGATAACCAGCGCCCACTGCTGAAGACAGACATGGAACGCCACATCAACGAAGAGGACACGGTGCCTCTGTCCCACTTTGACGAGAGCATGGCCTACATGCCGGAAGGGGGCTGCTGCAACCCCCACCCCTATAACGAAGGCTACGTGTATTAGCACAGTGACAGTCAAGGGCCTCCTCGCGCTTCTGCTCTTTTGCAACATGGAGAGAATCTCTGAATTCTCTTCAATATTTGATTTTTGTCATTTGTATTTTATTTTTAAATAATAATACACAAAGGGGCTTTCCTGTTGCATTATTCTATGGTCTGCAATGGACTGCGCACTTTATTTGAGGGTGGGTGGGGGTAATCTAAACATTTATTCTGTGTAACAGGAAGATAATGGGTGAGTGGGAGGGGGGATTGGGGTATTACTTTTTACTTAGGCTTGGGATGGGGTCCTACAAGTTTTAAGTATGATGAAGCTATATCATGTTGATTTGATTTCATAACAACCTAGAAAATGTTCATTTCCTCTGGGTATCTATGGTACAGTTAATTCACATTGTGTAAATATCCACTTGGAGACTATCTGCCTTGGGCATTTTCCCCTATCATTTCTGTGTCTCCGCAAGGTGTACAAAAAAAAAAAAACAAACAAACTACTGTAAATGGCAGTTTAATTGTTAGAAATGACTGTTTTTGCACCTCTTGTAAAAAGTTATTTAGAGATTGCATTTGCCGTTTTTTTGTTTTGTTTTGCTTTATATATGACTCACAGAGGAAAACCATACAATGGATATTCTCTCTGAAGCTGCATAATCACCATGGCTGTAAATGAGGGGCTCAATTTTGGACTCTGGCTCCAAACTGAGTCACAGGCCAGGAGCAGTATACGTATCTGGTGCCACCTTGCTGTTTAGATACAAATAATACTGTTCTTTAAATATTTTGAAACCCATTTCAGTTTCATAATGATATTTTTCATGGTCCTTTGAGATCTTCATTTAAATGTTAAATCTGAGATCACAATGAAGCAAAAAATATCTGTCTCCTTTCACTTCCTTCAGTACATAAAAACATTATTTAATCAATAAGAATTAACTGTACTAAATCACATAATATGCTGTTCTAGATACAGCAAGCACTTCTTAAGAAAAATATCCAATACACTAAATAGGTACTATAGTAATTTTTAGACATGGTACCCATTGATATGCATTTAAACCTTTTACTGCTGTGTTATGTTGATAACATATATAAATATTAGATAATGCTAATGCTTCTGCTGCTGTCTTTTCTGTAATATTCTCTTTCATGCTGAATTTACTATGACCATTTATAAGCAATGCAGTTAACTACAGATAGCATTTCAGGACAAAATAGATGACTCAAACCATTTATTGCTTAAAAAATAGCTTCTGCCATGCTATGCTATAAGCAGCTTTTATGCACATTGACAAAATGAAGAGTAAGCTTTAGCTTGCTAAGTGAAATTGTGGAAACTTTTGGTGAAATGGAAAATTATTTACAAACTGTTAAAGAATATGAGGAAGTTGCTGTATGGCATAGTGCTGGCACTGATATTATCCATCATCTTGTTTTGGACACTTGTGTAAATGTGATTGGATTGTTTGAAAGAAGATTTAAAGTTTCAAAGGTTTTTGTTTTGGTTTTGTTTTGCATTTGGAGGAAATAGTGAAAGCAGGGTATGTTCTGTTTACCTTGACAAAACCATAAGTAAATGGTGTTATAGTATCTCTGATTAGCTTGCTAAAATGATTCAAGTAAGAAACATAAACTTTGTTCACTATCTCAGAGGAAAAAAAATTTTAGAGAGTCAATAGCAAAATGTTTTTTTAAAAACAAAATCCTAAACACAAAGCCAAAATCAACTTAGAAAAGATTTTCATGATGAACACAGGAAAAATTGTTGAAAGATGATCTCCTGGCTACCCATTTTCCAACATGACATGGATCACAGTTCATGTCTGTAAACTCAACAGTTATTGGGAAACCCACATAACATAACCTATACTATTCACATTTATTCCTACCAAAAAAATTCTGATTTCAACATATCTATGTAACCTGTGATTTCAATGGTTGTTCTACATTTACATTATATATCATTAGGCCCATTATGGGTTAACAAATATGCCTTAAAAATCAGAATTCCCCCCACCCACTATGCTCATGTGGCCATTTACAGTACTTAGAATAAAAACGGATTTTAAAATATTCAGCTAAAATTTTATTGGAAAGAGAATTGACACATTTGGAGAAATTGAAAGTGGGTCTTTAAAATATGATCCAAGTGAAAATTATATTGAGAATACTTTTTCTTTTTTTTCTCATTTTCTTTTATTCTTTTAAAAATTCTAGTTTGATAGTGAGAAAGAATCAGGCTATGAGCTATTTTAAAGAATCAAGGAAGAATTGGTATTGATTATATAGTATTTAAGGACAAATTATATATTTTGCTGTTTATGGTAGTTACTCACTGAATAAAGTAAGTAATTGGCCAACATTAAGTATATTTCCAACACAGAAGGGTTCAAAACATTGCATTATAAACTCTTTTGGGAAATGTATCTAAAGGTTTTTTTTTTAAGTTCTGTTCTTATTCTACTTTTTGTTTGGTTGTATTTTTATTTTCAGATAGATTAATAAATCTGGCAGCTGATTTCTGCAAGATTCTTGTGTTTTGAATTTCTAATTGAATTGGCTATTCAAACATAGAAATCAATAATGTAACATTTTCCTTCAACTTGGTAAAAGAAACTAAAGAAATATCTCACCTCATGTTTGCTGCCACTTGTTACCAATACCTAAGGGGCTAATTACAATAAAGAATGTTACCTCTCAAATAAGTAATGAAAAATGATTTTCCTTAAGTTATGCCTATAAAAATGCATAAAATAAAAATTCACACGGCTGACAGTGCAGAGCAGTTTCCTCGAATTATAGAAAGATCTTGGAGGTCATATACTTGAAACTCCTTTTTACAGATTTTGTCAGTTTCCTATTGATGTCGTAACAAATTGCCACAAATTTAATTACCCAAAGCAACACAGATTTACCCTCTTGTCATTCTAGAGATCAGAAGTCCACAATGAGTCTAAAGGGGCTATAGGAAAATTCAGGGGACTACCCCATCCTATTGTGATTTCTGTCTCCTGGCTTTCTCACTCCAGCTTCTGCTTTTTTGGTGACACTTCTTTCTTGTCTACTGTAGTCAGATCTCCCTCAGCATGTCTCTTGTAAGGACACCTGTGATTACATTTAGGGTCCACCCAGATAACCCAGGGTAATCTCCCTATTTCAAGATCTTTAACTTAATCACATTTTTCATGTCCCTTTTGCCAGGTAAGTTATTCACAGGGACCAGGGGCAGGTAAGGGGTGTGAGGGGGAAAAGCTGGCTGTTACTCACTTTATTACACAGAAGACATGGTGTATTAAAAATACTGATTGACTTAACGTATGGACAAAAATGTTTTATTGATGGATCTAGGATTAGAAATTACTAAAGGACGTTGGTTTTTTTTTTTACCATTGAGATAGTCTCACTATACTCTTCATAAAAGACAATGAGAACATCTTAGGTTAAAGTTCACCTGTTCTACTAAAGTGTCTGGTAAACACACAGAGCTTTTAGATTATTTAATCCCCTCTTGTGTAACATTATGTAATGAGAGAGAAAAGTTAAAAAGTGGTAATTACAGTCATAGCAGAATGAATTAGATTGCCCAAGCCAGATCATATTTTTTAATATAAACTTCTTTTGGTGAGATTATGAGTTGTTACTGTGCAATCTTAACATTTATAAGTTATTACTGTTTAAGAAAGAATAATATATAAAACATATCTATTACTCAAAAGGGCAATTCTAAAATATGAGTCAACTCATGTTTATTTGACAAGGAAGAAACCCTATTACCTGGTGTATAGCCTTTGGCCAGATCATAGGTGTTTCTAAAATGAATATCCTTATCAGGCAGCATTTTCAGAGCTTATAATGATAAAACATTACAGAAAGGAAGACCATTTGAATGTTTCTTGGTATCTTAAAAGAGAAAAACTTGAATTTGAAAATAAGAAATAAGTGATATTTTCCAGTTGCAGTTTGATATGAGGAAGGGGAAAAATAGAATTGTAAGGAAAAAGAAAAGGTTAAAAATAATAAAAGGAAGTTTAAAAAGGCGAATGAAAATATTAAGCAATTGTGATAAGAATTGCATAAAAGCTAAGTTTTCCTAAGACACCAGTGTTGGACATGATACTCAGAAATTTGGTTCAATTTATTCAGAACTTAGCTAGTACTTTTAGGACTTAGCTTTTTCTTTTTTTTCCTTTAATGTGAGGTTACTTTAGAAAAGTATTCATCTAAAAAACCCAGTTTATAGAAAAATATAGTTTAAGAAAAGGGGAATTTGATCAGAGTAGTGGATGCCTTTATAGGAAAAAAAATTGATAATTTTAGAATGCTCTATTAAAAGTATATATAAAATAGTTATGGTTTATAAACCCATGTAAAATAGGATTGTTTTCTGTTTTTGCATATAGACTCCAATATTCTTATTTAGTTCTATTCTAAAATCATATTTCTATGGAGAAGAAAATTTTAATTCACTTGGATGTATTGAAATTACACATACAGTTTGAGAAAACATTCTATGAAATTTGTGTGATTATAGCAAATAAATATGCTCAAATTTTAAATCTAAAATAAAAGCCCAGAAACTGAAAATATTGCACTATTGTGATCACTCTGGAAGGTAGCATATGCAAAACTGATAAATATCATCTAAATGTTTGACTTGCTTATGAATCATTTTAAACATTTAATTTATGATTAAATGAATAAATTAATTAATAAATAACTTAGATGAATCATTTAAACATTTGATTTATTTTACAACACTTGAATTCTGTAGCTTCAGTCCTGTCCAACTCTTTGCAACCCCATGGATCATAGCTCATCAGGCTCCTCAGTCATTGGAGTTTCTCAGGCAAGAATACTGGAGTGGGTTGTTATTTCCTCCTCCAGGGGATCTTCCTGACCCAAGGATTGAAACAGATTCTCTTGCATCTCTTGCATTGCAGGTAGAGAAGACCAGGGAAGCCCTTAAGTCTTAGGTGTTCTATCTCTTTAAATGCATTGTTTCACTTA